TATTTAGTGGGTGTCGGTCTGTGTTCGTTGTCGGCTCGTCTGCGTTCCTCCGTGTATCGCTGCGTTCTATGGTGTTTCGTTCCTGTCTCTGCGTCTCTCTGCCCCGCACCCCTTTTGTATGGTCTCAGGTTTGTCTTTAGTTTCTCCCAGTTTAGGTTTGTAATTGCTCATGCTGAGTTGCCTGTTTTTGCCACCACCACCACCTTGTAAATAAACATCACTCTGTCATCAGTTCGCTGCATCTTGGGTCCTCCTTTTCCTCCACACCACACGGCTCCCTCCACAAAAAGTCTCTTCCACCTTTCAACGTCCCATGTTTGGTCCAAACGGTCAGTTCTGTGGCGTTCAGGGAGACGAGGCCTTTGAAGAAGTTCTTTGTTTTTGAAGCCCTACAGCCTCAGATGCCATCTGATGGTTACGGGGCTGCAGTCTGCATCTGTAACGGCCTAAATTTGGGTCGACATATAGGGCCTTGGGGGTTGGCTCACTTACCGGTATCCAGAGAACAGTCTGTTTATTCAACCTCACTTCTGGCCCCGGTGCCCACCTCTTAATTTTAAATACATGTAGACATTGAGGGTTCCTGGGAGGGGCCATGCTGCTACCAGATGCTATTTGGCAGAGGATTGTTAGCACCACCATTTAAATGCATTTTAGAAAAGCATGTATCAACACCACATATGAGCGGGTGGAGTGAGGTATGGGGTCTTCTCACACCCCTGTTCCCTGTTGGGGGCGGGGAGCCGGGAGGAGGAGTTGGCTATCTGGTTGGGGTCTGGGATGGTGGGCCTCCTTGCTGCTGCAGGACCAGGGGGCGGTCTGTTTGTCTCCACCCCAGATTAAAGAGAAACATCTCCTGGGTCTCGGGGCAGATTGCCCTTCTGGGGGTGATGGTACCTGTTATAGAGTATGTACTGGGAGTGTGAGTGCGTGTACAGTGTTCATTTCTGTGTGTCTCCATGTTGGGTGAGAGCTGAGTATTTGTATATGTGTGCATGAGAGTGTTTATGTTTGTGTGTGCCTGTGTCAGGGTTGCTGGGTCATTGACTCAGCATTTCAGTTCATGTTCTGTTTATTTTCCACATTCATGTTTCCCGCTTCACCGTGCCCTCTGTCTCAGAGTCATTAATTCTGGTTCTACTTCCTATGTGTCAGGTTATGTTCAGCTGTGTACTCACCGGTCTCTCATTATCATCCTCATCAGTCAGAGTATTTAAGTCCTCATTTTCCTTCGGTTCACCGTCTTGTCATTGATGTGATGTTGTCACTGCCATTGTTCCCGTGTGTGTTTGCAATTCAGCCAGCCATTCAATCATCCAGCCAGTCAGCGTTTGTTCATGTTCTGTTCATCCGCTCACTATAATAAACTTCTGTATCCTGCGCCGTGAGTCCTGCGTTTGTGTCATCTCCCCCTTGCATCCACACACGACCCCTGACAGCCTGTTAGTCTGTGTCTACATGTCAGGTTGGGTCTCAGACTCCACCTCTCTTAGAACATCTCAAACTAGAGTTCATTAAATGTAACATTTTACATCAAAGTTATTTACTAAAGTAAGATGGAACGTTTAAAAGTTAAACCCAGCATTCTTGGCAGACTTTTTCTTTCAGTGTTGGAGAATCTAATTTTAAAAAATTGCTGAAATCTGTTTTTTTGAGTGTCTCAAAGAATTCAGTGACAAAAGGTCCACCATGTTGGTGTCGCTTTTACCAATTTTATCTGGACATCCTACATCAGGGGTGTCAAACTCCAGGCCTCAAGGGCCGGTGTCCTGCAGGTTTTAGATGTGTCCTTGATCCAACACGGCTGATTTAAATGGATAAATGACCTCCTCAACATGTCTTGAAGTTCTCCACAGGCCTGGTAATGAACTAATCATTTGATTCAGGTGTGTTGACCCAGGGTGAGATCTAAAACCTGCAGGACACCAGCCCTCGAGGCCTGGAGTTGGACACCTGTGTCCTACATGAACACATGTGGAAGGTACCGTGTGGCTGCTTATGTGTTGCTGAATGAGGCTTTGCTGTCTCTTACAGTGTTTAAGTGGCTGAAGACTGAATGCAGCCTAACAGGAAACAACATCCAGTGAAGAAATGTCTTTAAATATTCTCATTTGTTTAATACATCTGCTAAATGATCCAAACTTTCCAGTAGATCAAACTTTTACATATGTCACGAATTTTGGACATTTTCAGCCCGTACAGCACAGGATTAAAGAGCGGCTGACATATAAGCCAGTACAGTGATATCAAAATACGTAAAATGTTTGGTACAGTGTTCATATTAAATCTGCTCTGCAATACTTCAAAGCAAGCCCCAAAAGAGAAGTTGAGCAGAGAAGCGAGGTGAGGCGTGCAGGTGCTGACGGCTTTCTGTCGCGTCTGTTTGGATCCAGAAAAACAGACTTTCAGGATCCTCATGTAGGTGAAAAAGATCAACGTGAGAGGCAGAAAAATGGTGAATGCTGTGCTGATCAGTCCATAGATGTTATTGAGTGTGGTGTCAGAACAGGCCAGTTTAACAATGGCATAGTTATCACAGTACACTTTGTTGATGATGTTCCCACACAGCTGCAGAGGTGAGCTCAGAGAAACTGTCACAGCAACCAGCAACAAAGCATAGATCCACGACACAGCGATGAGCACAGAAACTGTGCTGGATGTCATTCGTGTGTTATACTGCAGAGGACAGCAGATGGCAAGATATCTGTCATAAGACATGACGGCTAAGTTCTAAAATTCCACACTTCCATATGAGTACAGAGAGAAGATCTGCAGGAAGCAGAGAGGAGCAGAAACAGTGTGAACATCAGAGAGGATCTGAAGCAGGAGGAATGGAAACAGCCCTGTACTACCATACAGCTCATTCACAAACAGGCTGCACAGAAACATGTACATAGGTTCATGTAAGCTTCTGTTCACACAGATAACCACAATCAGCAG